AAGACGATCTCGCTGACTTAGCGGACAGAAGTACGAGTTTTAGAAAGAAAAGGAAAATTCTTGTTCAGCGCGGGAGTGTTTTTCTAGGATTGGTACTTGCGCCACTTTTAGAGGGCCTTGCAGAATTAGTATAAAATAATCATCATTAATTCACATCGTCATTCCAACCATGGATAGCAAGGAAAGATCATCTCCGAGACTTTGGCAAGATATACTTGGACACTTAAACGATGTTGATAAAAACAATGCTGAAGAACTTCTTCACTGCATTCTCACATCCACGGATATTCTCACATGTAATATTCAAGGGGAAATTGTATACAAAGGACAGAATATATGTGGAACAAATATTGTAGATCTTTTGCAATATACTGTTTTACCATATAATACTGAAATTCCAGAACGGGGACTGAATATATTTCTTAAAGGTCTTGCAAAATGATAAAAAGCTTAATCGTAAATGGACGTGTTCTTACAATGCTAGCCCACAAGCAGCCACTATATCATGTGGATACACAGTCTGATAAATCCGCGGATGAGTCTGAAGACGTGGACACAGCTTGTAACAGTTGTTACAAAGATTTAGACATCTCCTGATCTCCCATTTGGGCACATGCCCTGTATGCACATGGACAGATTTTTATCCGAATTGTAAAAGGTGTCACTGGATGATTTGTGATTTTCGACTGTCCGATGGAAATTTCACGCATGTAATCGCCAGTGGCCAACATTGTTATTGTGATGAGATTATGGATGTTAGTACTGATAAAAGACTTTTTTTGACCATAAAATTGACGAACAAACTGATATTTGATCAGTTGATTGTGTGAAGTTGAACTAAACACTTCAATATGCCGACGGGTACACTTGTTGTAGATGAAAAACTATTGAGAGACCATTTCTTGAGACAACGTGGTGAAAACATCGCTGGGTATCGCGGTAAGCCTTGCGAGATATGCTATCCCTCCATTCAAACAAGGTGCTAAAGTTGTTGGCAAGAAGTTGGAAGCAAGGGAAGGCGAAGTCAGCGCAGTAATCTATCATCTGTCAAGCAGCAAAAACTGGAAGACCCAAGACTTACCAAATGGATAACGGATGATGAAAGCAGTCACGATGATGAAAGCAGCTACGATGACGAATCGGACAGTGAAATGTCTCAAACAAGTGACGATATATATTAGAAGCAGACCTTACTAAATTTTGTAAAACGTTTTGAAGAAATAAATGTATTTTAAAACCGAAATCTTGTGCAAACCGCTTCTAATACATTTGTTTCTATCAAGAAAACAATATAATATTATTTAAAACTTTACTTTGAAAACATGTTGAAAAGACTTTGCTGAGCAAGGAGCAAGGACTCTCTCACACATAAGCAGTGTGCTAATCTTTGAGAAACTTTATATTATGGAACTGAAAGTATATTATGATGCGGCCCCCTTGCATAGTAATTACCTGCATATATAATGTGCGGCCCCCTTAATTACCTGCATATATAATGTACGGCCTCCTTGCATAGTAATTACCTGCATATATAATGATGCGTCCCCCTACGGCCCCCTAGAAAAGGGGCCCGAACGGCGCCTATATTACTACTCCCAGTTGAATATGGTCTTCCTCGATCATCTGGTGCAGCAACTTCTTTGGTGAAGGATATGATCACAACTCCCGCAAAGAAAAGACATGTTGGACAGCAGAATCATTCAACTGCAGGACTCGTAACTTCACAGGCACCTATCTCAGGCACAATTCTCTCTCTGTATTCACTTCAAAATACTCAACCATTAATTTCTCAGGAATATCTACTGCCTCTTGTAGTTGATGGCACAATTACCATCTGCATTTACATGACAATTTTACCTGGTCGATCGTGGCTAAACTTTGAAGTCAAACTTCACATGTTTTACAGCTGTACAACCAATGGCCATGCAACCATTTAGACACATATGTACCGCATGCGCTTTGCTTTGATTTGCGCTGTTTTTGGACACGTCTATTAACTTCTATTATTTAATACATGTATTTGTTTAAAGGAATACATGATTTAATTCTGATTGGCATTTGAAAATGAGGAATGGTGTGAGTCACAACACAAATGGCTTCCTACAACCAACATTTGTTTCAACTTTTAAACAAATAATAAAACACAATTACTGGCCGGACCCCTAATTCAGTTTCTTGGATAAAACAGTGCAACTAATGTTTAATTTAACCCTTTAAGTGGCAATGCACCTTGATGCGCCCTATACTTTACTGATCAGTGTAACTCTCAAGGGGCTGGTGCAGGCAAGTTGGGGATTTGACAAAATATTGAAATAAATTTTAAGTAAAATTGACCTATATCAATTAATTAATGTATGTATCAACCCCGATCTGGGAACTGATTAAATTCCACTGCATGCACTACAAAATCCTACTTATTCCTACAAAACAATTGTTATTGAAAGAGCTATATTAGAGCCGCAGAGTGACTTTTACCATTGCATGGTTACATATCTGGCTCCACCTCCAGGATCACACAGATGTTCAAATTCCTGATGACCCAGTGTGAAAGGTTTGTATCATGCAACCAAGATATGGGGTATGAAATTTTGATTCTTCCTTTATATTAAGGCGTAAAAAAAATACCTGTGGTTCCGGTTTCATATCGTGAAAAAATTAGGGTCGGTAGGTCGGAAATAATTTTTTTTTCAGGGTGCGATAATTCAATATTTTTAGACGTACCTGACTGGTACACCGACAACTTTTGCCGCGTACCTGGTCTGGTACAAACTTAAGAGTCAAGACGTACCAAAGACTACTTCCGAGTCATGCGTTTTTATACCTACGCATAGTTTACTGGTCCAAAAGCAAAAAATGTACGGGCAATTTTGTACAAATGAATCTTTAATTATGGTATTTGTACAACATAATATAACAGTTTTCAAAGCGTCAATGTTGTGACCTTGCGTTTTGACTCGAATACCATCGCCCATTTACAGTGGATTTACCGAGGGTGCAAACAGTCTGACCTCAGCTACATACAGTGTAGCTTTTCTCATTGGGCCTAAAAAAACCTGTGGTTCCGGTTTCATATCGCGAAAAAACTAGGGTAGGTAGGTCGGAAATAAAAAAATTTTCATGGTTTTGGCGGTTTTTTGCTGGGCGATTTTCAGTAGAGTCCCGACATCAATATTAACTAGAGATGCGTAGTTCCTACGGACGAATGTCTTATGTCGCCTGTCGGCAATTTGGTTCAATAATTTATATTGTGACAACAGACGCCATTTTGGCATGCTGTAGGAGCAGCCCGCAACCACCCGGAGAAAATAGGGTCGCACAGTCAGTCGTGTTGAAAAAAATAATAGGGTGGGCAGAAAAAAATAGGGTCGATCGGGAAATCGGAACCACAGGTATTTTATTTTTAAGACTTGGTATAGCATTGACAATTAAGCCCAGGTCACACCACAACGATAACGATAACTTGTAAACACGCAATAATTGGTAAAAATATTATGTTGGTGTCCACACTACAACGAAAACGATAAAAATATCGGCCTTTGACTATAACGATTTTTAAATCGCTCACCCGAGCGATTTATTTTTTTTCAGTCGGAGGATGACGATAAATTTTTTGATCAAGTGCAAAGATAACCTTTTGGCTTTTTTCATCCCAAAATATGTCGGATGCGTGGAATTTACATGTACAGCTAAAGTTCTTCACGGTTTTGAATACTTTGGCAGGTTTTGCTAGTTATTGCCATAAGGTAAATGTAAGTACGCGAATAGCAAATTTCCGCGTACCTACGTGGTACTTGCCTAAAAACAAAGAAGTACCAGACCATTTTTTCATGGTTTTGGCAGTTTTTTGCTGGGTGATTTGCAGTAGAGTCCCGGCATCAATATTAACTAGAGATGCATATTTCCTATGGACGAATTTAGGCAATTTGGTTTAATAATTAGTGTGACAACAGACACCAATTTGGCACGCTGTATGAGCAGCCCGCAACCACCTGGAGAAAATAGGGCCGCATGGTCAATCTCGTTGAAAAAATAATAGGGTCATCAGCGGAAAAAAATAGGGTTGGTCGGGAACCGGAACCACAGGTATTTTTTTACGCCTAACTATTAAATTTTTTTAAATCACAGGTGTGTAATTCTAAACTTTCCAGTCAGTCTTTGCCTGGACCTAGTATAATTTCCCAACCACTGATGTTTTCCAAATTTTGGAAGTGGGGGAAGGTTTGTGAAAATTAAATGAGTGTAGTCAATATTAATTGGGCATGGTCACATAATGCAAAGCTCACTCCTTTGTCATTATTTGAGCACTCAGGCACCTGCATGACACTCTGCACATGTCTGGTGCACTGATGTAACTGTTTTATACCACATGCACTTGGTGAGAGCAAGTTCATGAGTATAAATATGGTGGCCATTGTGTTATCTAGACATGTATCAAGCTGTACTGATACATATACATATGCATATTCTGTGGTTCTGCCTATGTGGTGTTGCACTCCTGTCAGGGGGAAATTTGTTCCAACCATGAAAATAGTGGAAAGAAAATAGTGTTCCCCTGCATTCCACCTGGAAAGCATCACTGGTCTTGCACAGCTAGTGCAAGTAAAGACTAATTTCCACTCCGGAAAATAAGCAGCAGATCGGAAAACCTCTGGAAGTGGAATATATGATTGTGGAATGTGAAAAAGTGGAATGATTGGATCGGAAAAGGAAAAAAATGTAGCTTGTTCCAGTCTCACATCCTCCATTTTGTAAATTTTATACAGGTATTATTTAATTATTTTAATTTACGTGAGATAATATGGCATTTTGATTGGTCGGCAGGTTTAATCCGCAGGACTGGACCAAAGTTGAAAATATTTCAACTTTTTATTATCCGTCCAGCAACGTCGTCGGTCAGTCGGAACCAAAAATTTCTACTGATTGCACATGCACGAATTTTGTCCGGTCTGATCCGCTGCTTACTTTCCGGAGTGGAAATTAGCCTTAACACGAGTGACAGGGTGGACGGAGTGAGCTATAGGATGTGATCGAGGCAAGGCACTTACCAGAAATGAGTCAATTCAATTTTATATCCTATTCCTATCATACAGCATTACCTTTAAGACACAGTCACTTGACATTATACAATCTTTGAGTTCTTTCCTCAAGCCACTGCAGGGTATATGTTTCTTCTCATTTTGAGCAGCATCCATTTTCAAAAGAAAATAGTAAATATTTCACGTTCATGCTTTTCGCTCAACGAATCACGAATATCGGAGCACGCAAATAAAAACGCTGTTGTAATTTCACATTTTAACAAGATCGCTGACCAATCGGAAAGTGTCGTGATAGTTCGGGCATCTTATACCTCCCAAAAAGCAAAATAATGAAAATATTTATTTTTGTTTATGTTTTATAAAATACAATTCTATTTTTTAGCTGGAGTTATGTGGAGAGAAATTTTAACGTATAACTCATCAGTACTGGTTTTGAACGTAGAAATTAACGATCACGTAGTGGTTCATTTGTCTGACTTCATTTTTGAACCAGAATCAAAGAGTTTTGTCGTGATTACACAGAAGAAACAGACTATTCAATCTCTAAAAACTCATAATGGAACAAACAGAATTTCCTGTCTTGGATGTAAAGTTATTTTGGATCACAATTGTGGTATTTTTTTACCATATTTTCTTGTACAAGATAGCAAACAATGCTATTTATTCTGTCTTGATGCAAACAATCAATGGTTAATGAGGTATAATTTTACAATACCTAAAGTGTTGGAAAAACACATAGAACTTTGTGATACAAGTTATTCCATTGAAAATGGGCCCACATTAATCTGGACAGTGAGAGATGAAATATTTATTTATAAAGCAGAGTATTCATTAGGTTTGAAAAGACATGTGGATGATATTTTAAGAGTACCAATTGATTTAAATTGTGAGAAGGGATTAGAAGTTGCCAGTAATATATTATGGTGGAAAAGTGGTGATTCTGAGCAAGGAATGATTGTTGTCAAGGATAGTAAAGGAACAATTGTTAATTCATACCTTATTACAATTGATAACAAGAAAAGGAAAGCAAATATTGTGTTAAATAGACAAATCATACCATTTCCATATCTGGTCATTACATTGTGCACGTTAGTTCACCCTGAACAATGTGAACATTTATCTGCGAATGAAAGTGACTTAAATGACAATTCCTACAGGGTGTTTATTTCTACCACACAAAGTCAACTGTTGGAATTTTCTCATGGACGTTATGTCAAACATATTAATATTCCATTTTCATCTTGTCAAAATATACAAATATTTGAGGTAAGTTAGAGAGTGGCAATACATATTTTATATTTTGTTTATTTTCAAAACAATTGAGGTCATATGTTTCTTTGTGAGTTAGATGAAACATGTAAAAGTGAAGTTCTTATGCATGTCTTAATTGCTACATAATATGCCAATATCTGCTCTTGAAACAAAAAAATACAAAGTACAGTAGTTCCAGAATGTCAAACTCTTAAAGCAGTCCAGTTTGGGGGTGTCATGATCAAGCTGCTGGTACATATCATGGTAGAAATCCCACATGCACTGGGTTGTGTATACCTGTATAATAATTACATATAGGTGATAGGATGATTTCAAGTGTAATTTGGATAAAAGATGCACAATAGTAATAAGTGAGTTTTTATTTTTAATTATTTTTTTATTTTTATTTATATATTTTTATTTTTTATTTTTTTAGCATGACTGAGTTTTTCAAAGAGCATCAAAATAGCATGAGTCTGAAGGATGAGTGCTATTTGAGATCTTTGAAAAACTCATGAGTGCTTGTCTTAAACGAATTTCATGAGAAACCATCTTTCACATATTATATTAATAACATACATAAAAATGTTCCAGACAATTGTCGTTAAATTAACTTACATTGATACAGTGAACCATCCATTGACAAACTTTTACTTTATGTAGTGCAGTGCCATGTTTGTTTTGTTTTGAAGCAATCTGTGACCATTACTTGAGGACTGCTTTAAGCTGATCTGTTGATTTTATCTTTGCATTGTTTTCCCACCAATCAGATCAGTTTGTTACAGATTTTTGCACTGTTGTTACAGATTTCTGCAGTGTTGTTACAGAATTTTGCACCAGTTGCTGTTTGAGATTAGCTGCATTGAAATCATCCAATTACATCCGAGTAATATTTTTATGTACATTATTAGCAGTGTTAATGAGTAATAATTAGATGAAATGTCAAGAGCACCATTTGAGGGATTGGATATAAGATAGAAAGAGGGATAGTGAAGATGGTTGTGATAGTAGAAGTTGTTGTGTTTATATATATTGTAAAGTGAAGTTCTAAGCGGTATAAATTTAAAGTGACATGATAGCAAGGGTAACAGTTGACTTGAAACACACCTGTCCAGCAGCCTTCCACAACAGAAGTTACTTTTGATGATATATTTTGTCCATTGAACCTGGGGTTAGTATGATCATTGCTTCATTTTTCTACTGCATAGACTGCATAATGTGAATGTTTTCCTGCAATGTAGAAGATGCTTGATGTGTCTCCTGCACATGGTCCATGTTCAGTGGCATAACTTTGTGCTAAAAGGCCATCGGCTTTAACTGGACTAGGACCCCTGGTTCTGTGCTACATTTCTGAATTAATACAGTACATCAACTTCGCAACTTTGTCATCCTTGTTCAGGGTCCTGGCTTGAGCCAGGAGGTGCCCAAAGGAGTTCAACCACTGTCCAGGTTTCACAATCCTTTAGAAGACTGGTGAAGGAGACTAACTTGTAAAGCTTCATTTTGGTGAACTGCTGAGTTATTCCAAAGACGGACCTGCTGCTCTCATTCTTACACAGATAAACAATTTTACCACCCTAATGTCTTGGAGCATTGTCTCTTCCTTTGAGATGGTGCTGATGATGATGCTAGGAAATGTTTCAAGTGCACACCATCTTGTATACTGCAAAGCGCGTTTTGGACCTGGCCGTGATGGTGCCCGAAGTTGTCTCTTTAGGATGAGATAATACGCATTCTGCCATGCAATGAATACTTCTTGCTTTTCTTCTAGGTGCTTGACAAAGCTGTGTTACTCAGGCAATCCTGTTTGTTGGACTTTCTTTTTTGGTGCCAATGTTGTCTCGGCTGTCTCCACCCACAGTCAACCAAACTAGTCCCACAGTTGGATTGCACTTGGTATGCGGGAGGTCAGCTTGTTAAACAACTAGTTTTGATCAGAAATTGTTGTAATGGTCTAGGTGTTGAATGAAGGCCTGGTATTTGGGGGTGATGTAGTTTGACGATTTACCTAGCTGATCGATCCAGCGCTCGGCTCCAGACACTGTGGGATTCACGTAATTAAAAAACACATGTAGACGAAAGCTTCGGAAGTCGTTGTGAACTTCGCTACATCTCCCCAGTTCTTTCGTCAATGCTTTTAAGCAAAATTTTGCGACCACAAGCTACAGTATCTTCACCACTAGTCAAAGAATTGTTGCTAAGTGGACTAGTGGCAGCTACAGTATCTTCACCAGGATGCCCAGTAGTTTTGAATGAACAACAGTCATACAAAACGTAATTATTGAATTTGTGTAACAACAGTCGTACGAAGTGTAGAAAATTTCGCACATGAAAGGTAGAAGAAATTATGCAATGTTTATATTAAAAGTATTCAAAGATGCTATCAACCGTCCATATTTATAAATCTGCACTACGTGCTACGGTTTGGACCTCCGGTATGCATCCAACCTGATTTGTGCTTGTCTGAATCACATGCGCCTGAATAGAGTATACAGTACAGTACGTATACAGTACAGTGTTGGTCAAATCATTCTGTGTGGAAAGGCTCAAGAGCGTAATGTCATTTCGAATTTATTTTCCCTATGACATGTGGAGTTAATATACAGTACATTAATCCTGAGGATGACTATAAACTAGTCGAAACGTCGATTAGAAAGTACAGTACATGTTTCTGAGCCTACTCTTGTATGAAATCGCCCTGCACCAGAAGCTTGTCTCCAGAAGGCGTGCCATCACCAGATGATCCTCCTCGAAATATTTCGAGAGGACTTGGTATACCCGCCCTTTCGGCAAGACGAAAGACGAAATTGAGAAAAACGATGAGATAAAGACAGTTAGGTCGAAGTATTATGGGCTAATGATCTTGGCCGATAAAATCTTGACGTTACATCAGGAAATTTATCGCAAAGGGAGGTCGTCCCAAAACAACATACCATGTACGAATACGAAGTTTTCACAGTATAAAAGCAAAAATCTAAGAGAGCGTTAGAAAAAGCTTGATAGATCATAAAAGCACCTCATCTGTTGTCCCGGGGTCGGTCATGCACCTGTTGTTTCACCCCCTCCTTATCGCTAAACGACTTGCAGAATAGTATACAGATGCAGAGCTGCACGTATAGAGATTTGCGTGGGACATTTTTAAAAGTGAGAAAGTCAAGCGCAATCCCAGTGGCTCACTCCCTTTTCATAGGTGTAATATAATTAATTTTTATAGCATAGACGGATTTTGTGGGGGGGTGCAGGGGGGTGCTACCCCCCCAATATTAGCTATAACCCCCCCAAACAAAATGTCCACCCCTCCAAAAAAATTTTCAACCCCCCAATATTCGGCATAATAAAAAATAATTAAATAATCCACTCCAACGTGCAGAGTGTTGATGATACAAAATAAACGTAGGAGTACACTCAAATAGAAAGCAATATTATTGGAGCAATTGTAAAGTTTGGAAACTCTATTATCTCCCCTGAATAGAGTTTGCAGTGCCTTGTCATGCAAATAGCTTGCTTGCAAGGAACGTTTGGAATTTTTACAAACATTATTTTTCGTTTTTAATTCTTTTTAATTTTTTAATTCGTTGTTTATAAAAGTAAAAGCATATTGTGTATTGGCCTATTGGGTTTACACTTTTACAGGTTCATTTAACTTTAACTCTCTCAAGTCTCAACAGACAATCGGACACAGGGCCGTAGCGAGGGGGTGTTGGGGGGGGGGGTGGTTAACCCCCCAACTTTTGTAGAATTAACATATTTGGAAAATCGGGTTGGCCATTCGGAAAATTACGGCAATAATAGTATAACAAAATTTTAATTGTTTAATTAAACAGAAAAAATATTATAATATTATAATCAGTATAAAATGATTTACGAAATCACGGCATTTACATGGATAACGTTTAACAAATCGTAAATCGGTAAATTTTTTTTCGGTTTCAGTACTTCTCAGGGCCGTAGCAACCGGGGGGGAGGCAGCACCCTTACAATAATTTGCTGATAATCAGTCTTTTTTCAAAATCATGCACACCTTTATCATTTAAACAATTGATTAATTTTAAGCGGCTACATTATCCATGACAAACCGCAAAGAATTATATTACCCATACTCTTTCCTGCAACTTCTCCAATATATAGCTAAATACGACTTCGCCCATTTAATTCTGCTAAATTGTAATCAAATTGTAAATTTCGACATACTAAAACTCTATTAACAACTCAAACCGACTTTACCACGTAGCTCAGTTGGCAGAGCATTGGACTAGTATCCCAAAGGTCGCAGGTTCGACTCCCACCGTGGCCAGGCACACTTTTCAGCTTGCCCACTGTGGATGCATACTCAGAGTAACATCACAAATATCATATTAAAACTCTGTTTTCTGACCATCAGAATTCTGTCAAAACTTCCCCCAAAGTCCAGGAAATGGCATTTCAGAGAATCTAAATTTAAAAATTTCCCCGGGCCTTCGGCCCACGTTCCCAGCCCCCAATCAAAAAGAGCTTCCTACGGCACTGCATACTTCTGTAATATGTCTTTGTGGAAACTATGTGGGCTATGTGTATTTTTGTTTGTAAATTGCGTCTTCATTTTCCAGATAGCAAACACCTTCGTTGCTTCGTATGCCATGAAATATTCGGAAATTTTTTTCGTCATTCGGAAATATTTGGCCTACACCACCCACCCCCCAACTATACATGCTAGCTACGGCCCTGATCGGACAGGCCAAATCCATTGATATGACAACTTCAAAAAACGTTTTTTCGAAGCTAGAAATCATGATTTTTTTCAAATTTTTCCAGGGATACTTTGTTTTCTGCTGCCTAGACTCCCCCTCGCGGCTCTAGTGCTCCACCCCTAGAATATAGACCTTACTGGGGTTTGGTGACACTTTGTGTTGCTTCAGTCACCTGCTCACGGCTCACCCCCCTAAAATTTCTGGCACCACCCCAGTAAAAAATATGAAAATCCGTCTATGTTTTATAGTAACTAATAAAGCTGCATCGTGCATCGGTCATATACAGCTATTTCAATTAAGGTTGTCCACGAGCAAAGCGGAAAAGTCGAATACGAGCGCGAAAGGCTGCTGGGAATCGCTAAAAAATTAATTAATTTTCATAGCGATTCCCGGCAGCCTTTCGCGCTCGTATTCGACTTTTCCGCTTTGCTCGTGGACAACCTTAATTGAAATAGCTGTATACAGTAGTTCACTGTTAACAACTGTAAATCAGAAGCAGTTTTAAATCACCTTTGTATTATATACACGGTATTTATTTCGTAGAGTCCTAAAGCTGATCTTATTCTCCTCTGTTTCGAAGAAGACCAGGTCTGTGCTGTGGACTGGATTAATTCCAAAATTCTCAGAATTTTCCAAGTTTACTCCAATGTACTATTACTCGACGATTTCATTGGCTTAGGCACTTTTCAAATACTTTTATTGTATGGTAAGTAAATGTACAGCTTTGGTATATTAAACCGTTGATGTTTTCGCAAACCGCGACTTTAATAAAGCCCAAGGTTAAAATTCAGCCCAAATAATTCTATACATTTATTGCAAATTAACTGTTTATTCAAGTTGTCATTGCGACTTAATTTTTTAAGCCTGGCAAATTATTTACGCCTCGATTTGTTGCCTCAATTATATTGTCTCAATATATAATAGCCGTATATATGGCGGCTATTATATATTGAGACAATATGTGCTTCCTATTTATTATTTTAGGTTTAAAACATGAAAGTCATCAAATTTTTAATAACTTCATATTAACCGACTTTTGTAAGATTGATCTGGAAAAGTCTAAAGAAAATAAGGTGGGTTTATCTATAAAGTTTTGATTTTGCATATTTGCGTGTAAATCATTGACACTATAGGGTAGCCAACAATGTGTTAACTAACCGATGATATATATATATATATATATATATATATATATATATATATATATATATATATATATATATATATATATATATATATATATATATATATATATATATATATATATTAGTTAGTCTATATAGTCTATTTATTAAAATTTCCTCTATTCGTACTGATATCGTATAAAATCGTATAAAAGTAGTACAAAATCAATTTCTCGTAGAAAACCCACACTTTGTAAAGAACATTAACAGTTATAACATTGTCACATGCGGTAAACTGTAGTGGTGCATGGGAATTGATTTATCAATGCATACAGATAATTAATTTCCCATAGAAAAGCGATGGATTATCAACTTCAAGATGTACGGATGTTAAGCGTGGAAGTGTAGAAAGCTGTGTTGATAATGTGGTGAATGCATTAATGAGAAAAGTACAGGTACTGTACATGCAGTACATTTTAATTTGATAACTTGAGGATGCTTGTCAGTGCGGCGTACTAAATCCTTCTAAAGCCTGCTCTCCAGTTAAGCGTTTTTCAGACGTGCGTGCATGTACGCACGGGAAAGTTTAAATCTTTCTAAATTTTATACATCAAGTACTACTAACTACCTCAACAAATTCACAAGTAAAATTTTCCGTGCGTACACGCACGTATGAAAAACGCTTAACTGGAAAGCACGCAGCCTTAAATTTTATATATGTAGTATGTACATTAGCTGAATTCATATTAGAAGGCGGAGTTTTGTCTAAGACGGGAAACTCGTGTGACGGATTTAAATCAAAGCTAAAGTTTACGTAAATTAACATGATTTTTTATCACATAGGTATAAAACCATCGACACGATAGTGATTTCCTTTGTCTTTTCCTTATGGATTATTAATGAGTTATTAAATAACTTACTGATGTCCTTTTTTTTAGTTTCGTTTTTTCATAAGTAATAATATTTAAATGTGCCGCGTCGCACGTAGGACATGCGCACAGGGTTGGATCGATATGGGCATTGAATTATGAGCTTCAGTTTAACTTCAAAAAAGAAAAAACCTTGGAAATTATGCCATATTTCCGAATTTGATTTTTTTGCATCCCCCTTGCACCCCTGTTGACCAAAGCCAACAGGAGTGCGCACCCCTGTGCACCCCTCCCCTCTAAATCCACCCCTGCATGGGCACGACTGGAATTAATGCTAGGGTAAACGTGCGATTTGTTCTTGCACCGGGAACGCAACGGGTTAAATTTCATTATGGACCAGCGCAAGTAGCAATGATATTCTCACGTGCAATGATATTCTCACCTGGTCAACACATTATGCTAGAGCCTTGGTCAAAGTCTTACAAATCAAGGCTAAAGACACGATTTCTTGTCAAGTTGATTCACTGTGAAGTACTGTATGGTTTGATGGAGGGAAACAAAAATATTACGTTACAATGTAGACTGCCTAACGTCCTATAAAATGGGTCTGTAAGTGTATAAATTTGTAGTTATTTTGTGACTTCATAAAATTAAGCAGCGATGTTTTAGAGATTAATTTATTTCTCCATGTACTGCATGGGAATCGTGTGTACTATAAGCTTGAACACTTTTCCTAGTTTATTGGATTAGCCCCAGAAGTATTTTTTTGACAATAGCCAGTTCTACTTGTCAAGTAAAGCGATTTTCATTGCGTTGCCGCGCAGAACATGATACACGTGCAATTTCTTCTTTCACACCAGCAACGCAATAATGAAATTTGACTTGTGAATTTGCCAACGCGAGAAAACAATCGCACGCTGGCTGTATTTCCTGGTCGTGAATGACGTACATTACAGTACGGTACGGTACGGTAAAATAAAACGTTCAACGATTATTTTACCCATTCTTTCCTACAGGCTACAGAAGTATCTATTACTGAAAGCAAAATGGAGAAATCAGAAAAATCTTCGTTTGTCAAAAGACACTGTGAGACTATATGTAATATGTTGGTGAATGAAATAACATCGCCAGTATTGCAGGTCTGTATATCGTATTAAATTAATTTCTTCATGCATGTTTAAAAGAAAGTGAAAACATATAAAACAAACGATAAACTGTTGATACATGTATTGAATTCCAATTTCTAACGACAGGTGTACCATCGAAAGGTTTTGCAGCTATATACAGAACTTACTTTTTAACCAGAAATTTTGCCGGTTCGCATATGCTGTTACCAGACGGTACTAACGGTGCAGAGAAATAGTGAATTTCTTATATAAAGTATATTTGAACTAAAATCATCAAAAACGTACAATGAAAGTTCAAGGAAACTTTACAACTCTTTATATTCTATATATATTTTTTGTGGCGTCTCTTAATCATTCCATACGGTAAATATGTGCTAAATTGCATGTGTTTTGTGAGGTAAACATGTGAACTGAATAATATGTATTTAGTAGTAGAGACAACAAATTAAGTAGTATTTAAAACACGAGTAGGAGTGTTTTATCAGATACAAATACGACTACAAAAGAATACTAATTAGGATGAACCATTATATAATCATACTAATTAGGATGAACAATTATATAATGCCACATGCTTTATCAGATATAAAGTCACTCCACGTGACATATTATGGCTGACATGATTTGCCACAAGGTTTATGAATTATTAATGAGTATTTTAATAATATCGAAAAATGTTAAATTGCTTTTCAAAATTTTATAGATTTCTGGACTAGCCCAACTCGTGACAGGTCAAGAGACAAATTGCAAGGGTAAATATGCATTGAAATTTTCCCAATCGTACAATATATCCAAAATATCCTATTAGTATTCACTTTTTCCTATAATTATTTGTTAAGAATTACGCGTTCAACATTCAAAGATAATTGCGAGATCAAAATGGCAGGAGATGACAAGCTCTGAATGGATTATTGGAGTCGAAATCGAAAACGTTGGACAAAGGTCCGTAGGTTGTAATCTACATGCAGAGGACGGTTGTACGAACGCCGGATAGCGCCATCCGCATTATAGTGACTTTTTAAGCTTTCTAACATGCATTGTCTGGTTTTTTTATATAACGTTAAACTTTAGTATTCATCAATTAAAGTCTCTTTTTATTCATTGTGAGGTCCATATCCGTAGTTTATTAATAGCTTTTCGAGCATTTTTACAACGGTTGAAAAAATCACTATCGGCTAGTGGTTAGCTCTATCCGACCTTTGTACAGCCGACCCCAATGTAGGTATATTTATTAAGATCCAGATTGTGTGCTGGGTGCCGAAATATTTCCCATAGTAGAATTTATTCCGGACTAGAATATGTGGTATACTTCCGCATAATTATTTCAAACCAATAACAAGCTTGTGATACAGATAGGTAACCAATGAGAAATGCACATTGTACAATCTCGTACCCAGAGTATCCCGGTTCGCGAACGGGCATACTCTGGGCACGAGATGCAAGATTATTTAACAATTATGCATTTCTCTGATATCTTCTTGCTTAATATGACAAATGTATCACCAAACGAATATGCAAAAGTAAGTAATGAAAAAACTAAAGAAATTCTCTTGCGATTTTTAGGGCAGTTTCCAACATATCTTTATGCACATTGAACAAAGCGAGCGGCATCCTTGTATCTTCTTCAAAGATACTTCGTTCAGAAATGCAAATTAGAAAGCAGGAAAATCAAATGTTATCCTCTGGTCGGAGAGCAACGCTTGTAGCAATCATATCTTTACCAAGTTTTTCGTTCGAAAACTATTTTACCGTTAGCTTAATGTTAACTTGGAAACATGAAGAAAATAACGAATATCTGTCGCAGTTTTGTGGTCAGATGACTCTTCGGATGGAGGATATTATAAATAGTGCAAGGAGAAATTGCCAACATGTTGCATTGTATCCTTTGAAAACTCAGGTAGATGAATTATTGTTTTAAAAAAAAAATAATATTTTTATAAAGCAATTTGCGTCGAGATGGATATTTTTATTTTGTGATGTCATGGAACAGTATAGCCCAGTGAGCTGTATATATATCTGGAGCAAGAACTTCAGTCATTCGGTCTATGAGGAAAATGAAG